AAAAAACAAATTCCACAAAACCCCCCCCCCCCAAACAATTGGCAACCAAGATGATAGCAGTGGGAAATGAGTGGCGTGTCGAACTTAAATTTACTAGGCATAATAAATAAGACTTACAATAAGTCATTACTCACTCAAATCATTGTAATAGCTTAATATAACTCAGTTTTGTCAATTTTCAAAATGCATCCTCTTCATATCATTCATAGTCAATTGTTGTCATAATTTATGTAATCTTGGCTAAATCATAATGATAACTGGGTATGGAGAAACTTTCATTATTATTATTCTTATAATGAATTACATGGGCAATGCACACTTGACGTCTCTAAGGGGATGAGTGAGTTCCCTTTTGTTTATTCTTTGATTGTTACTTTTACTATAGTTAACTTTTATTTTTTTTTATTTTTAATACCCAGATGGAATGTTGTAAATCAATATTTCATTGGGTGGTCAATTATGATGTTTAAACAAGATTTAAAAAGTGTAAGCTATGAAATTGTAAGTTGGGTTTTTGTTATATAAAATTAAAAAATGTTTTAGTTGAGGCAGCTGAGGAAAGGGAGTGACCGCAGATCATTGAATTCTTGCTGCATATCTAGAGTGATACAATAAAGTTACAATGTTTGCCATGAAATTAATGTATTGGCTGAAATTATGCCAGAAAATAAAAGGGAGGGGGGGGGCATTAAATTATATTGATGTTGCTATATTATATTATATTATATTATTTGCTTCTCTCGGAAAGTAGCTAAACTTAAACTGCACATTCTCTCTCCCACCCCATTTTAGCACCAGCGTGATTTGAAAATTTGTTCACACAACCGCAATCTTGGTTGCTGTGACATGTTTTGTCAGGGGGAAACTTCAAGCATAATAATAATATAATTACTAATAAATTACCAATCACTCATCAAATCAATTACACATACATCATATTATATACATTATACTTTTACACATTAATTATTATTAACACATGGACATGACATATGGGCAATCCTCTGAAGTCAGGTCCCAAATTATTTCCATTGATTATATGGCATCCTTCCGTCTTCGTGAGACGATGGAGTAGCTATATAGTTCTACACTTTGACGAGTGGCTCACTAGGCCAATCCTAGAATGCCAATCACGGCCGCATCTTTCGCAGGAAAATATTGAATCCCAGTAAGATCTTTATTTCCGAATTGTTCTTTTTGATTCAAGGGCCTCATTTCCAGTATCTTCTGCCTGTTTTACTTTTTCAAACACTGCTGTTCGCCAGTTGGAGCGATGTTCGGCAATGAACTCCCATTCGTTTGTTTCAATATTGGCTTCCCTCATGCTTTGTTTGCAAACGTCAATAAATCTCAGGCGTGGTTGTCCAATATGTCTTGTCACTTCTGCCACTCTCCATACAGCAGTATCTTTGGGATACGTCCTTCCTCCATTC